AAATCTTAACCCACGTGTGTTGTTCTATTTCTACTCAACATCACCGACACGGTCCTTTACACCATCATCTCTTAATACTGCACGGATTGAGAGATGATGGATGATCTGGTGGTGAATGTGTAAATTGTAATGAAAGAATGGGTTGTGACTCGGATTAACTATGACTAAGATGGCTAAAGATGACCCCACCTCTCTCTCTCACACACACACTTCGGCCATGTGCCACAATTTTGTAATATTACAAAATAAATACACTAACCCAGTCAAGATGAAAAAAAAAAAAAAACAGACAAAAACAAACTGGGTGGGTAGGAATCTCGACGTGAATTATAGCAAAAGAGAATGCCGAGAACGGGCCAGTAACAAAATTACTGTCAATAACTAGGTAAATAACCCATTTGTAAAGAAAAGATTAGTTTTGTTCCTTTCTCAAGGATATTTGTGTGAAAAGTTATCACTATGCTACCTCCGGGATTTTGAACTCAGTTCGACAATTAGTTTCCACAACGATATCCGTTACACTGACTGCACATCCCTTTTTTTTTTGTTGTAAAAACAATAAAAATAAAAAAATTAAATAAATAACGGTCGGCCATCTTGTAAGTGTGTATGTTGTTTTAAGTTGGTCGCTTAACAGTGTAAAAAGTGGTACCAGATTTTACAGTCAATGCCAGGTTGGTATCAACGAGCCCGGCTCAAATTCCGGTTGATAGATAGCTTATATTTGGCTTATACAAACGCCTTATCGAATGGCAGAAATCAACCTTTCCCCGTCTCATCGTCTGACACTTAAAATACCTTAACTGTACAGGCAGGGGAAGTAGAAAGTTGATTGCTGATGATGACAAATCGCTTATTTTTATTTACCTTTTTTTTAAAACTTTTAGGTGACTTCATTTGTCAAACAAAATCTTTGTAGAGCCATTGCATGCAACTCTGATCATCAAACAGTGTGGTTGAATTTTGTGCTGGTGTTGTCATATCCTACTATGGCAACAAGAAAATGACTAACTGAAAATCGAAGATGATGCTACTGCAGTTGTGTGACCACTTATACACAATGGCTGAGGATGAAATACTCATGAATAATGCAGAGTGCTAAAGGTTAACCAAATTCACCTCAAGCAAGGTATTAAAGCCACTAAGACAAGGGTGTGGAGGAATTAGAAAACAGAAACATTACTAAAGAGGGGGAACAAAAGAAGAGTAATCAGGAAGACAGTAGATAGCGATTGGCATTGCATTTTTGCAGATTAAAGTTGACTGGAAAGCATGGAGCCGAAAGAGAGTTCCACAAGCGAGAAGTGCGATAGGAAAAACTATTAGCATAGAATTTACGGTTACATCTAGCCAACTCAACTGTAAATTGATGAGACCTCATTGCCACTAGTACTGTGTTTAAATTCAAAAAGTCAGGTGGTTGGAATGTTAAACTGAACCCTTTATTTCGCTCACTGGGGTAGACTGTTCTAGTTTTACGTACCATGACAGGACCTAAAGTGTATGAGTTCAATACCTGGTTAAGGCGGTGGAGAACTTTAAGAGGGGAATTAACAGGAATTAACAGGAGATAACCGATTAAACATGGCACGTGGAACTAGAACAGTCTACCCCAGTGAGCGAAATAAAGGGTTCAGTTCGACATTACAACCACATGAAGACGGCCGGAGCGTACAACGGCTGAAACGTTGTAAAAAATGTCGACAAAGATGAGGACAATAGTCCGAATAATGTTTTTTTTTTTTCTGAATTTCAAAACTAATTTAGATTGACTGGAAAGATGTTTCCTTTTGACATTTTTAAAATCGCTGAGCACCATTTCTAGCCACCCGTCATCACGATGTAATACTCTTTATTAAAAATGCCTTTTAGAAATAAAGTCTACTGAAATTTTGGTCTGAAATTTTATTTTAGGAATATTAGCTGATTTATAGTTTAATCAATCTGATTTGAAACACTTATTACTTACTTTAAATTTAAAATATCACAGGAATGCTTTTTTGGAACCAGCTTTCCCTATTTGTGATTAGTAAATATAGTTTTTCTTTAATAACATTATCACCCAACTGGAAAAAAAATAGAGAAATTTAAAAGATTTAAAAACTTCATAAATTATTGTAATTTTTTTTCAAATGAAAACAATTCTTGTAAAAATTCATTATTCATCGATTTTTTTTCTTAAGACAAGTGTTCATAATATATTTTATTAATAAAGCAATTAAAAGCTTTTCTACTTAAATAATATCTTAGTTTTATTTCTTTTTTTTTTTTTTTTTTACAATTCAAAGCAATTTTTATGAAACTGGCGGCCCCATTTTACAAAAAGAAATTAACGATTTAAATTCTTCAAGGATTTCTGTTTTTTAATAATATAAACATTAAGCAGGAGAAAATTTAATTTCTCTAAATTTCATAAAATTAAATAAGTTGTGTGCAACAGATGGAAAAAAAAACTAATAAAATAATTTCATTCACTTGTAAATAAAACATGAAAGTTTCATTAAAATCCGACAATTATTTGCTTTTTGTTAAAATTTCCAAATCGGTGTTTTTCACCTCAAAAAGGACACTAAAATTTGATATACTCATCTTTGCCACCATGATGAAAAAAAAAAAAATTTTTTTTAAGCAAAATTTCTAACATTCTAAAAATAATTAAAAAATATATATAATTTAATGATCTTTAATGATAATTTAATTATCTTTCCTCATAATATTTCGCGTATAAAATTGTTTTAAGTTTAGGGCATTTTTTTATTGTGGTAGGCTCATTTCTTAGCGAATCAGTGGACGTACCTAATTTAATGTGTCGAAAAAAAAAAAAAAAAAAAAAAAGCATTATCAACAAAACAATTTATTTCACAAACAAGACTTAGGCAAACAAGGCATTTAATTTAAACGTAACAATAAAAATAACACATTGCACAAATTCTTTGGGGAAGAAAAATAGTTAATACTTGAATAGATTCATATACCTGAAAGGGTATATAGTTATTTTTGACAGTATTTTTTTCTTCCATAGCGAGTAGGAGAATATGACATCATTACGTATAGAATTCACACCCACTATATATATATATATAAAAGATTAAATGCCGATAACTACTCGCTGGACAAACCTTAATTGTTTTATGACCCTTCACGCAGAACTCTTCATTGACAATTCTAGAAAGAAAATTCGGATTGCCAACACACAAACAGAATGTCTCATATCGAGAATATTCCACATTGAACATGAAGAAAAATTAATTATTTTTAATAATATGTAAAAATCTCCACTTTCACCTGAAGACGGTTGCGAGACCAGACCAGAAACACGTGTCGTGAAATTATGTAAAACAAAGTATAATATTTTTTCTCAATAAATCCACATTACAACCAAAAACGTTTGCGGCACCCCTCTTCTTTTTAATATACATTCTTTTCTCTCGTTGGAACCACAACATATTTCTTTTATATTATATATATATATATATATATATATATATGTGTGTGTGTGTGTATTTGGACAGCAATCATTTTTTTCTTTTTTTTTTATACAAGGCTTCTTAAAGACTGGCAAGGTACTGCGATTATGCTTTTTATTTAATTGTTCTTGTGTTCGAACAAATGTTTTCTTTTCTGGACATAACGTTGTTTAAAATGTTCCTAGCGCTTTCGGTTATTCTTTTAGTCATTATCAAGGATGATTTTTATTTTTCATTTTAACGGAATGTGTAGGGTATTTTTTTTATGCATGTTTCTGAAATTATAGAAATGTTTTATTTTACAGATTCGGTCAGCACAAGAAAATTAAATAAGAAGTTTAATCGCACTACCTTGACTATCGTCTTTAACGAAAGACACACACACACACACATATATATATATATATATATATATATATATATATATTATACACACACAAGTATAGGATTGGTGTATACGGAATAAATTCCAATAACCAACAAATACTATTCTTAAAAGAGTGCTCAATACAGAGTAGAGCAAATATAATTATTCGAAAGTTATAACATAAAAATGTTATAAAATCAGTACAAAAATAGCCATTTTGTTTCAACATTTCTGGTGTCTTATCAAGTGATGGTGTTGAATGTA